TTATTATTATTATTATTATTATTATTATTATTATTATTATTATTATTATTATTATTATTATTATTATTATTATTATTATTATTATTATTATTATTATTATTATTATTATTATTATTATTATTATTATTATTATTATTATTATTATTATTATTATTATTATTATTATTATTATTATTATTATTATTATTATTATTATTATTATTATTATTATTATTATTATTGTTATTATTATTATTATTAATTATTATTAAATAATTACGCATGCCTTCATTTCAGGTGCATATCAGCGTTTATCATTAGCTTTTCATTTTAAACGATCTGCTGGTTACTTTGTTTTCAAACTTATCTATCTTGTATGCTTATCGTAATGCTATCTTGGGTTAGCTTTTGGATTAATCATGAAGCTACGTCAGCTCGTGTCGTTTTAGGTTTGTTTGTTATTATATCAACATTGGATATAAAACAATGTGACATTATAAAATATTAGTCTTATTGGTAAAAATTTAACCTAATTCATTTTCTATTTTTTCACAAATGATGAGTTGCAGGGACAACAACAGTGTTAACAATGACAACAATTAGTGCTGGAGTAAGACAATCACTACCACGTATTAGTTATGTGAAAAGTATCGATGTTTACCTTGTAAGTTTGCAGCTAATTAAAGCAATTGGAAATAATTGTTAATAAGTGTACCGTAATCTCTAATTAACTATCTGTTAATTATGATCAAGTATGTTTTTCCCTTCAAATGGTCCTTTAAGGTGGTATGCTTTATGTTTGTATTTGCGGCATTGTTGGAATATGCGGCAGTAAATTATTCACATTATGGTGGTCAAAGTAAGCCTTGTGAAACGGTAAGTAAATGGACGAATGAGAGCAAGAAACGTCGTACTGTTATTGATAAGAAAGATGTTAACTTATATGGTCATGTATCTCACTCCGTGACGGAGGTATGATCTCTTTTGATAAACACCGCGAAGTTGTAGATAAAGTTCTAATTCACGAACCTGTAAATTTGAATTTCATAATCAACTTTTGAAGACTGCTATATATTTCAGTTAATCTAATCTCAATAATTCAATCGATTTATGAATCTATAAATTTATGATTTATTTATAATCTGCTTATTTTTAGTTTTGAAACTTTTTATTCTCTAATCTTTTTAGTTTTATTTCCGCAACAACTAACTGGATATCTCAACTATAATATTTTAAGCTTACCTCCAGTATATCTAACATTTGTTCATCCTAATCTTTTATTCATTCCAAAATTAATTGTTTACTTGTTTACATCACCACTCAGAAATGTATCTGGCTCTGTTATTATATGGTACCATGAAAATCATTTCCTATATTTTGATATCAAGATTATGACATATTTCTTTGCAGAGAATTGGAAAAAATCGAAAGAATGAGTCAGCAATATCCAATGAAATGCTTTACAAAAATATCGTTACTGATGATAGCGGTGGAAAACGTTCCCCATCACCACTATTATCATTAATGCCCACTAGGGAGAATATAGATTTGAACATTCCCGATTATCCTCGACTCACCACCAATAATAAATTGTGCCATAAGAAGCGGTAAGTTATAAGCATTTAGGCTGAATAATATCTCTCACTTCTTTTTTGTACTGCGTCTGATAGTTTAAATTTAAATAATAAGTGATATAATTTTGCCATAACTGTAATGCTGGTTAAAGTTAATAATCGATAGTGAAATAAAGGTAAGGCGAGTGAAAATAAAGATAATGAAAGTCGATTTATGAATGTGATAACGACTTGAAGTGACAATGAAATGACAATGGACAAAATGTAAGCGGTAATTGTTTAGTTTACGATTAGGTTGAAAGTAGATGAAAGATGAATTAAGTAAATGATAATACTAATATCTGTTATTCTGTCAATACGTCGTATTTTTCAAATCATTGACAAGTTTTCTGAACACATTGCATGTTAATAGTTGATTTGAAAATGCACAGATGATTTTTTTTTCTTTTTTAGAGATGAAAAAGATACCAATTATTGTCTGCTATATTACCATTAATTCTTGATTGAAAATCTGAAAATAGCTACAGAACAGACTTCTTTTCATGTTCTTATAAATTAGTTGGGAGAAAATTTGCACGTATGATACATGGAATATTTACAATTGTAGAAGAATGCAAGCTAAGGAGCTATTACATCTACTATTGAAAACAATGCTATTATTTAGCTTTACATATCCATCATGCTATCAATGAATTTTTTAAAAATCCCTCGTATTTGATAAGAAACGCAACATAGGAAGAGTTGCGGATAGTTGATGTAAGTTTCCTTGCTATCTCTTCGACAAATATGTTTATGTAACCGAAGGAAGTAATATTTAGCTTGAGACAACATGGGAATCTGAGAATGAAACTTCGAAGACAAACTATTAAAATCCATGTTCAATGGCTACATTCGCAGGCACGTTCTGTTGTAGCATCTTTTCGAACATGCGATGTAAATGTTATCGATAAGAATTCGAGAATCATTTTTCCACTCACTTTTATTATTTTCAAGTAAGTTAACAAAAACATTAAATTTGAGTTTTTGACTGATAACCTTATTTGATTATTCACATTTCCACTTCTTATTTGCTTACTTACTTGAATATTTATTGACTTATTCAATAATCTATTATTCACATGTTTTTTTAACTGTATGCATTCATCTTTCTAATGAATTTACCGTAATACTGTATACTCTACTTATCCATATATTATATTATTTAAAAAGTAAAATCTAAAAAAATTTATTTAATGGAAAAGAATAAATAAGTCGTTAAACTAATTTTGGTAAGTGTGAAACATATTAAAATATTATGAAAATAACGATCAAGATTCAAATATTCTGATTAGATAGTATGTCTGAAAACTGATTTGATCAATGACAAATATGAAATCAAGTGTTAGACATTATAGTTAATTTTCAAAAAAAGTTCTTAAATGCTGTAAAAAATTATGCAACACACATTGTTAACACTTTTTTTTTATTTTCTCATTTTCATAAATGTTTATATTTGTAAAAAATAATAAATCATTTTAGCACATGTTATTGGGGATATTGTACAATGATGCAATAAACAACCTGGATATTAACGAATGAATTTCAATTCTCAACGATAATTTGTCATTATCCGGATGGATTATTTGAAAGAATCAGTGCCAGTGAATAAGCATTGCCGTATGTAAAGCTCCCAGGTATTATATACAGAAGAGCTGAAAAACTACATGAATCCAACAATCTTACTCTTCAACAAAACATACCGAAAACTGAATTCTTTCTAAGAGAACGATATTCAGTAGCATTCCGTTTAATAACTCTCAATATTACAGCTTTAATATTTCAACTGGAAAGCAATTAATAGTTTCAGCTTTTCTTTCCTTGTATATTTACAATGGATAATACAATGGACCACCAATTGATAACCGATGATAATTGCTTCAAGTAGCTTACATTTCATTTACCCATGAGTTTAGATCATTAAATTAAGGTTAGCGGTAATTTATACCATTAGCTAACCAATGACTTCTGCGGATGATTGAGTATCCAGAACCTAAACATCTACCATGTAATTTAACAGTTCTTTGTATAATACCATATGCAGAAGCTATTTCACGAATATTTCTTTTATGCAAAAAAACGCTCCATGTCGCATAGACCGATAATCAATCTAATCACCTCCTTCTCCATTCTTCCTTTGATTTGTTTACTTTGATATTACTGATTAAATAAAGCGAATTAGATCTAAAAGATTTATTATCAACAAGATTGAAATAACATCCCCGTATTATTCCTTTCGGTTCTTCCACGATTTCCATTCGTATTATATCTGTATTCATCTTTTAAAAACAGCAAACAAATACAAACCAATTCGAGATGACCTTCAATCATTTTTCTTTGTATCCAACCCGTAAACCCGAAAATTTCCTTTGTTTGAACAAGGAATTGTTCACCAGGTTAGAAAAAAGAACCATTATAAGACAATATACAAACAATTAACAGATTAGCAACAGATGAGTCGAGATGATCTTTTTTCGATTGAATATTCATCTACGGATATTTATCTACGTTTCTAAAATGCAAGACTTTCTGTAAATAAACACATCTCTTTAACTGTGTGGTTCTTTACAAAGTTACAAGCATAAAAAGCAAAGAAAATATCAATGAGTGAAAACAAATGGAAGATATATCCTTTGAAGCAGAGTGTTCAACTCTTTTCAAATTTTAGCAAAAGTTGGAAATTACACAATGCTGAGGTTGAAAATCACTAAGAAAATTATTGAACAAAGTTCAACCTATCCTTACGTAATGCAGAGTAGGCTGAAGCCTACTTATGACGGATGTATATTATAACAGCAAAGGCATGAATGCAAATAAGAATTATATTTACAAAAAACAAAGATCATACTCTCAATGTCCTCTTTGTTTATTTTCAGCTCTTAAATGATAAAAATCCATAGCTGTCAGCGAAATATTCCAACCGGCCGTAACAGTCGCCACATAAAATATGAAGAGGAACGAAATCGGGTATAAGAAGATGTGTGTATTTTTCAATATTGGAAGTGCTAAAAGTGGAAAATTTCAGGATGTGAAAATAAAAAATGGAATTGAAAATTTTATTTTCCTCAAATCAGAATTAATACAGATGTTTATTCAGATCAAAAAACCTTAAAATCATCTTGGTTTGCAGTAACTAAAAGATTGAAGATACAGCTTTCTGTATAAATGTACAATTATTTGAATAAAGAGATAAAGAATACCATCTATATCTATAGTAAACCTTAAGGAAGTGGAAAGGATTCCAGATTGATTTCCCGAATTCTTCCCACTTTCTTTTTTTTCGCAAATAATATATAAATCCCAAAACTACCAAAAAATTATGTAAGATACCAGTATATCCCAAGAAGGTGATATATATATAATAAACTATAGCCACAAACCAAATCGTATTACCAAACAGTCGCGGCAAAAATGCATCGAAACCTATCAGATCTAAAAAGCAGTTTCGTGATATTGAATTGTCATTAAATAAGCGATAATTACTATATCTAAAAAACGATATATTATATTCCAAAGAATTGCGAAAAACTATCGATCTTACGCGAAAATGTGAGGGGTAAAAGAACATGAAGAAGCATAAGCATCGGGAAAAACGCGTTGAGATGTACATCAAAGCAATAAGCCCATTCCACATCCTGATCAACAACTCGCCTCAAGAAACGATTAGATGCAAACCTAAATATTCTTATTGTAACTTATCGGTAAATCCCAACACTGAATTCGCTTATAAATCCACAAAATTATTTTTCCTGAACCAAACTACGGACATCAGAGAGGCAAAATTGGAGACAATATTTCAATCCTGGTCTTTTCGAAAGGCTTCTTATTGTATTGAATTTTATATATGCAAATATTTCTCTATTTCCGTGATGGTGACTCATTCGTTTTCCTTTTAGAGATGAAGCAAGCACCAAATTATCACCAAACAATGATGAATTACCATAAAATAGTCGCGATAAGTATTCCAACACCAATACAATCAATGAAAACGACCCATAGGAAAAATGCAATGAAACCAATGAATGAAAGTTGAATAGTCCAAGCAAATAAAATACTCGATACAGCAAGAGCTGTCAAAAGAAGTACAAGAAAAGCTGGATCATCGCGTGCCCACTGGTCCTTTGTCCCTAAAATAGCAAGTTTTTTTTTTCATTTTTTAAGGAATCTTGCATTATGGCGATTGTCAAAATTCCTCGGCACTGTCACTTAGCTAAGGAAATTTGCAATAGTATCTCTCAGAGTACCATAAAATGACTAACATTTTCCATTCTAAGTTAAGTCCCGAAGTATACTTTTCTAACCTCAGCATTTATTATAAACATAAAAGATTAGGAAACGAACGCTTGCGATACATAAAGTTGCGGTATACTTTCTGAGGTTTGATCAGCAGATAAATCATTTGCCAAAGAGCAAATTCAAAGTCCATCTGATGAAAACGAATAAGTCTTCGAAAATAACGATTAAGTTTTGCTACTGCTGTCATCCTAACTGCTGTAAGACATCCTATATGATCCGTAGATCTAAAAAAAAAAAAGTATATATACAAAAAAGACCAAAAGATGTGCACAAATTTCGGAACTATTAGGGTGCAAATAATTAAACATGTCTGCAAATCAATGTACAAGCAAATATGAATAATTTGTATGAGTTTCACTTTTGAGAAAGAATAATGATACTCGCGATTCCGCTGGATTCCTTATCTGTCACTGTTAGTGCATCAAATTATATCGTTTCACGTTAAACAACAGGGACAGGAAATGTGCACATAAATAAATTGATAGAAGGGAACGAAATACTGCACATCTGCAGCACAATAAACTGGACTTACTCGTTACTGGCAATAGATCTCCCACCAGGTGATGTATAACCACTTCCCGGAAATCTCCGACCTCGACCTCCAGAAGATGCAAAAGTGAACGAGGTACCAGCGTGTACCATGCCCTGTGGAACAGGTGTAATAGCTGATACGCAGAAATTCGCATAAACTTATTCGTATAACTCATTTAAATTGTGTTTGCAAAAAGCAAATCTGAGAAAAAAGATGAAAAGCAACTACCGACTGTAAAAGCAAGATGGCTAATGAACTCGATAAAACCCCAGTTATGGAATATATTTGACATTTTTAAAACAATGAAAACTTTAGCTAATATCTCTGCGTTTGATAAGGAAGAAAGTAAATACTGAGTTCAGCTAAGACTTTGAATTCATTGAATGAAGAGTTGTTGCTATTTATCTCTATAAGGAAATTGATATTTGATCAGATAATTTACAGCAAAAGTAATAACTTTGAAAGCATAAAGATACAATTTTGCACGAATTTTTATGGAAAAGTTTTAAAAAACACGTATATATTACATCATCAGTCATCATTCCAATTTTAGCTTAAACAAATAAAATACAACCAGAATACAACACTACTTACGATTATGCCTGCTTACTTATGCCACTTAATTTTAATATTTTAAATCATATTCGGGAAGATTTTAAATGAAAATTTCTGAGCCCAATTTCCAAATTACAGAATTAACATATGAATACAGTTACTTCTCGAATATATAACACATGCAAGCATTGGAAGTCTAAAGTATCACTGCCGAAACTGTTTCTCGAAAGATAAAAAGAATTCCTTGGCAAGGCACATGATATGTTGTTCATAAAATAAATCAACGTAAAGATAAGGCAAAGCAAAATATTAGCGCTGTGGATAATTGACCTGAAATAAAATAAATATAATTTAATTGTAAACATAAGACACATAGGTAAAATATACCAATAAGAATAAATATGCCAATAACCAATATCAACAAAATATACCAGTAAAATATACCAATAAGAAATATACCAGTAAAGAATATACCAATAATGAAACTATAAAATGATAGGTTTCGATCTATTACACTGAAAAGAAAAATGAAATCTAACAGCTTAGACTATATGATTTTCATTCTCAGTCAATATTAGATGTTGGAAAGTGATAATATTAAAATAATGCTTCCAACAAACTAAAAATGAAATAGTCGAAATTTGAAAACACGACCTGAGTTATTTCTTTTGACGTTGACTGGTTGTGATGTAATGAAAGAATACAACTAGCAAAAGCATAGCAATGCCTAAGGCATTCGCTACAACGCCTAATTGCATATCTGTAATCATTGCTAACACCTGAAATGATTCAATAATTTAAATTAGTGAAAAAAAAGTGAAGTTATTTAAAATTTTATGTACACGTGGAATAAAACGAGACAGAAGTAATGGATGAAAGTAGTGGTAATATTGCAATTCAAAGAAAAAAAACGATGAAATGTCATAAACAGCAATATTCTATTTCATTGGAATATAGCAAGGTGATTTATAAGAGATAAAATTTTTAGAGAGTGAACCTTATAAAAGTGGATGCTGAAGTACCCCGAATCCCAAGAGAACTATTCTTATACATTCTTGCACCATCTGAAATTGCTCATATGTCGGGTATAATGTGTCGGCCACGCTGCACTTTTGACGCAAAACGGTTCGGCCAAAATAGCTCTGATTTTGTCGAGTGAGGAGGAAGCGAATGAGTGAGAGTTGACAACTGGACGGATAGAGGAGATGCTACTGGAGGAAGCCTTCCAATCATTTCTGTCTCCTATCGCTTGCTCTCTTTCACTTCGCAAATTTTTTTTTCAAATTCCTTCCGATATTTTTGACGAATTGAGTGGTTATCGATCATCTTCTGAGGGTTCTAAGGTGAGATCACCATGAAAGTAAGGGTATACTACATCATATTGTTGAATGGCTTGAGAACTTATTTTACATTCCATGTATTTCTCAGCAATCGATAGGATAAGTAACTTATCAAAGTAGTAAACGTAAGGAGAATTACCAGTAAATGACAAATTACGCATATATACAGTTATTCTAACAGAAGATATGTAATGTATTTGCTAACGGATGAATTCGTCATTTTCCGTGTAAAGAACTTTATAGATTAAAATTCTCTATTGAGTTAGATAATCCAAGTTATACAAAGAAGAATATTCATGTACACGTGACGTGACATACGTGGCATTAGGATAGTTTCCGTGTAAGCGTAATAAACATAGAAATTTGTACGGTGAAGATTTCCTGTATTTTTTAAATTTTAGAGTATAAAATAAATAACTGACCAAGTTAAAACTTTCGTTTCAAAGATTATTTCGAAATCGATTGAGGAAGCTTTAGCAGTCTTTTCATTTGGCTCTTAGCGTTATAATTCACCATTTTTTTCTTCATTCCCCATTATCCATCGATTTCTCTGCTTCTTTCCCTTTACTAACCCTTTACCTCACCACTTTTCTGCTGGGTGATTTCACATCTATCACTAAGATTAGTCAGTCCCAGTTGCAATAAAAACAGGGCTTATGAGAGATCTCAGAAAATTGGCTTCAAACGATAATAGCTAATCTATCACAGAGGGGAACATTCCATAATAGGAATTTTTCTTTTGTTTAATGCGGATAATTTAGGTCTGTAAAGTTTTGGACATTTAGATTCTTGGCAGATAATGTTTCTCATTCTGAGATGTTTTGAGAGTTCTTAGGTCTGTTTGTAAATGTATGCGTTCTCGAATTAGAGTTGGTACAATATTTGACGAATAATGTTTTCCTTAATTAGACCTTAAAAAGAAGAAAATTATTCCAGGTTGATGTCCACAGATACGACGGTTACCGACGAAACAGACAATTTCCCGCTTGCAGATGATGGTAAGCTTCAATATAAAGTTTGAAAACTCTCTGTAAGAGATTTTTTATTTTATTAAAATTTCGAATTATTTATAGAATCTCAAGGGAATTCAATTGATACAGGAGGTCGGACCCCTCGTCCAGCACAACCATTACCGAGAGAAGAATCTGATGATCAAGAAGAAAAAGCACGGCTAATATCCCATGTTCTCGAACTTCAGAATACTCTGGATGGTAATTTCATTACTGAATTGTTCTACCAGTCTTTCATCCTTTCCTGCATTCATCATTGTTAAAATACCTGCGTTGTATACTATTTGTATAGTGATTAATCTTTAAAAAAATGAGAAAAACTTTGTCCGTTAAAGGAGCATTTTTCGTAAACAAAGTCTTTATTGGATTTAGAACCTTATTAAATTAATTTCCCAGTTTCTGCCAATTTTACGAACTCACAGGATTCGCTCTTGTCATGTAAAAGAAAAAGTAAAAAATAAAATAAAGTGAAGAAAAATAATAATTTGCTGAGAATTAAGTAGACGAATAATTTGTTTTTGTTCCAGCTTCACTTTTTTTGGAATCATCACTAGCCTTCTCATACTGCGTTATTCGTAATTTAATGGTGATGTTTATAGATTTGAGTCAGCGCGTTGACAGTGTCAAGGAGGAAAGTCTAAAATTACAATCCGAAAATCAGGTGCTTGGGCAGTATATTCAAAATCTAATGGCATCAAGTACTGTTTTTCATCCTGCACAACCAAAGGCACCGCAAACCAAGTAATCGAATTTCTGCTCATTTTTCTTCTTTTTTTTGTCTTTATAGCTTGCGCTTAAGGAATTACTAGCATAAAATTTGAATTCTGCTTAGTTTTTCCAGCGAAATGCACGATTTCTGATCATTTGCATGGGTTTAGTTGGGATCTTGTCATAGCCCTCGTTTCAATGGATAGAACTCATAAAATTAACTTGTAATTAAAATAATTAAAAATTTTCGAACCGTTATCTCGTGAACGATTATATTTCTCCTCATTAACAGCACGCCCATCTTAATATTTCATGCTAATTCATCATGAATAGTAAATTTCTGTTTTAAATATGTCAGATCAGATGCTGTTATCAAGCAGAAATACTCTTTTTTCCTTGGCTTTGGTTCTTTTAGTACGTATTCTCATGATTTCAGCAGTGAACTTGCTAACGTGCTAGCAATGCTCACATTGCAGAGATATATTCCCATTGTTAAATCTTCTTTATTTAGTTTTTTTTTCTTATTTTTTCTTTTGCTGAAAGAAAAAATCTTTAGTCTCTGTCATTCACTTAAAATATTTCACGTCTGAGTTAAAGAAAACCAACTTTAACTGGGGAAATCTTTTAGTGAATATCGGTGAATTTTGCTAGGATTTTAGGAGTTTTAGTTTATTCAGCATTCCATTATGCTAGGAACACTGATTTATAATAGCCTGCTTTATATCAAACTTGTTGATATATTATTTGTATTTCTTCTGTTATGATGAAGACATTGGTGAAGAAAGTCAACGGACAACTTGCAAAATCAATGAAGTTATCGCTATTTGCCTTTGTTGTTGTAAATTGCTATATTGTAATATTGCAAATTCCATTCTATTTATGTATGTAAATAATAATGCGAATTATAAATATAGTTCCATTATGAAAATTCAATTTATCGCATTCATTTTCTAATTTTTTCAGTTTGATTGTATGTGTACTTCTTATTTATTTTCGTATTCATTCTATCCTATTTCGTTACAGTTTCGTAGTTACTAGTAATCATTATGTTTTGCAAGTGCCATAGTTTTTACCGTATTTTGCACTATTGCATTTACTGACTGCATTTAATTAAAAGTAGAAGTCCGCAGGTGTCCTTCAATTCAGATGAGGAAACATTTAAGGAAGTGCTAATGAGGATTTGACTCATTAACCAATAGAAAATGTGCAATAGAATGTTGATCGAAGTAATTGAAAAAATTTATGAAATCACAAACAGGTTTAGCTTGAAGAATTTATCGAGAGAACAAACCTTTCGGATAAAAAAGGCCTGTCCATTTTTACAGTCGCTTCGATTTCATTTGTTTTCTGTTAGTTTATGTTTGTTTATAGACACCTAATTTTCCGTTCATTTTCTGCACAACTTTTTTCTGTGTTGTGTGTGTTGCGGAATTTAATCATTTTAACTTCTCCGTTTTAGATCTGCAAGTTTCATCGCATGCTTATCCTTTAAATTTAGTTTGCACTCTATACTTTTCAAAGACATTTGTTCGTAACTGTCTGGGTTTTTTTAGAAGCGAAATGTTTGGAGCATTCTTTTGGTAAGAAGTAACAATTCTTTCACGGATGACATCCAGTCAAAGAGAAGCAGCTGAGATGCATTGTTAGTTGTATTCAGGAATTGTTAACTTTAACGTGATAGTGATTGTTCGTTTTCTTGTACTGCTTAGTGCAATCAAAGATTATTTTTTCACTTTTATTCACTGATTTTCTCCAGTGCATTATTTATTATTTTGCAACCTTGTTGTTCGTTTCTCTTGATGTGGATACAGTAATTGAATTGTTGCTATCACCAAGGACGTTGCGATCAGTTAGCAGCTTAAATGTTTGGAAATCAATGACTGTTTGGATTCCGTGCTTCCTCACTGTTCAGTGTATTATAAGAAAGGCAAAATTATGCAAATATGAATAGCGAAACAAACTCTACCTATTATTACGCCTTTGTATAAGCTTTGGACGACCGACAGAACTGAAATTGAGCGCAGCGTGGCTGTACAGAAGGTGTTCTTATGTTCATAATCAAGACTAGTTGAGCAATGAAATGAACTTGCAGAGCTAGCATACTCAACTCTAGCTAAAATTTCAGTAATGATATTGTAAAAAAAAAAAAACCAAATACCAATTAGGCACAAACTCGATTCCGCCAACCCTGTTCAGAATTTATAAGATGTAAGTCCAAAAGATCCTTTTGATAGGCTGACGCCTAACCTGGCTAGGACTCAAGTTTTCCTAGTTCACCCTAGGCTGTAGACAAAGTGCAAATCTACTTGGAAGTTGGGGTCTGTAACAATCCCTTTTTAGGAACACCTTAAGATTTACATGTGAATGTAACCAGACACGTATATTATAGATTTTACTAATAAGTTAGTTGAGAAGCTCATGTACATCATACAGCAGATGAAAATCATATGAGCTGGGGCTATGTCAATCGACAATACATGCTCTGAAAGGATTTTGCAAACTTTTACAATGAATCTTATACAAATCGCTGTATAAATGTAAAAAATCGATGAGATCGAGTATGAGGTAAATATTGATCTTAAGCCGCAGCCTTCTTGCTCCTTGCATGTGTTGCCGTCTTCTTTGTTGTTTTCGATTTAACTGCCGAAGGTTTTGCCTTTTTCGGTCTACCAACAGACTTCTTTTTCCGAGTTCCTCCTGCAGAAGCAGCACTTGCCTTCTTTGTCGATACAGCTTTCGGTTTTGAAACCTTTGGCGCAGTTACCTTAAAATGTAGAAGAATCACAAACTTTGAAGTGGGATGATTTGCACATTTGTACAAGTTTTGGCAATTAGTCGGTATATAAAGTCAGGTGATCTAACTGGTTAACAGATTAAATCTCACTCCTGAGTTGCAGAATATGGAGTCGATGCTAAACAAGTTAGCTGGGTAACGAATAAACAACCTTTTTTGTGGCAGATTTTTTCTTCATGGACTTTTTTGGTGACAGCAATTTCATATCACCAGCCGTGGCAGACTTTGCAATTGCTGGCTTCTTGACTTTTTTAGGCGGTTCCGATTTTGCATCAACTAAACGGAATGACCCAGAAGCACCGGTGCCTTTCATTTGTTTCAGAACACCTGATGCGACACCGCGCTTTAGTCCCATTCTAAGGTGTGCATTAACCTGAATTTCCAAAATCCATTTATTGTCTGCCTAAGATTTACAAAAGAAAGAAAAACTGTGGATTAGAACAGCCAAATTGTCCAGAAAACTTGCAAATACAAAAGATAGAGTGACAACAAAGCTGAGAAGTGCAATTAATAAAACCCTTCCATCTTTTGTATCTATTCAATATACCACCGCTTGTAAATATGCAATCGAATAATCCCGAATATTTTAGAATGCGCAACAAATCCTCCCGAGATCCGCAATAATTCTTACCAGTTTTAACTTTATCATTTCAAACTTCAAACAACAACGTCATCATCCCCTGCTGTTAACTGATACTCCATTAATTTCAACCAATACATTCATTTTCGAAATGCTGGAGCGAAATTATTCAAAAAACTAAAAATTCACCATGGTAGGATTTTCGCCGACCGCAAAATTCTGCATGATGTATTTCAGGATTGCCGCACGGCTTGAACCCTTCTTATCCTGTGTAGCCAATAACGCCGCTTTGATCATGTTACCATAGGGTGGATGGCTATGTTGCGACTTTGCTTGCGATTTCAGAACTTTAGATGTTGGAATACTGACATTCATCCTTGCCATCATATTGCTCCTTTTTTTTCCAGTCTTTCCAGTTGGTGCTGTTACTGATGCGCTAGTGTTAGATGATAACACGAGAGCCAGGTTATCACCAGTGGCAGCGCTAGGGGCAGCAGCAACTTCCTCAGTGGCTGGCATTATTGTTAGATTGTACTGATCAGAAATCAGAAAGCACTGAAAATTACAATCAGGAAGGTGCAAAATAAACTGCTACTGAAATACTGCTATTGAAATACGCTGCACACGCCGACATATGCATGAAACAAGTAACGAAAGGAAATGTTTTACCACCACAATATTGCAGAAAAAAAAACAAGAAAACGAAATAACTAAGAACTCATGGAATATAGGTTAAAGGTTCATGATATAAAGAATAGCAGAGAGTGTGAAAGACCAATGCTCCATAGTTCATCGGACATCATGACTAAGAAATCATGAATTATAGGTTACAGGTTTGTGATATTGGAAGAGCAGAATCGAACATCATTCTTATCCGAAGAGTCAGACTTTCGTATCCTCCCGTATTTTTCTTTTTTTTTTGTCCGCCACTAAGCTATGTTATGTCCAATGAGGGCAAAAAAGACTAATAACCGTAAAAGATATATAAAGTGAATGAAAATTAAAATAGTAAAAATCATATAAATCTGAAACTTCAATTCCTTCATAATCTATTCACGTACTTGTAAATGCCAATAGTATGCACTGAAAAATTATCAGGCAATTATAGCCTACTCTTAATGCTATGCATCCTACATCCATACATGTACTACTTGTTATTGGTATAGGAGAAATTAATAATTCTTAAAGATTTAAACCGCTTTAGTATTGCTACTCATTACATTTGAGCCTTGATAATTTCATAAATGTTAAAACGTCAAGTGAATGGATCACGTATACGAAGAAATTAAAACTTTTTAAAAGACTCTGCTTGTATACGCCTTTCCTGTAAGGGTACGAAAAATTTAGAGGGAATTTTTGAGCTCTATGTCAGGAATTCGAATTCTATTTCCGGAATCCCGTTTCAGGATACCAGCACTAATTTGGAAATTTCTTCAAACGAATATGATTCCATCGTATAAAATGGCAAGGAAACCCAGACGAAAAGTCTAACTTATACATTTTTACGTGACGTGCCTTCACGTACGACCACGTAGAGACTAAAAAGTTAGAATAACCCCAATATGGCGCTCAGAAACATCCCGAAACAACCGACTCGAAGATGCGTTTTCACCAGAAATGGTTGAAAGTGTTGAAGAAACAGCTGTATATGTGGCAAGAGCGGTGCGACGACTACGCTGGGACTCCTCGCTATAGTCGCATTCACTCCAAAACATACATTGCCTGCTGGTAAGTAGCACTTACAAAATAGCACGTAACACGTTAACTACGCATGCTAAATACTTCAAATTATAATCAACATATGGTCGAGAATCTGTGCTACAAGATGAATATAAATTTAACCATCAAATAGTTCTAGTAAAGTGGTAGGAAACGTTTGAATTGAAGAAATTTTAAATTTTATATCTTTTTTTCACTGTTATTTGAGCTTTTTTAAAATTACTCAAAAGTATTTATTGCTAATTTTCGAACCATTAATTAGCCCATTCTTTATTCTGTACTTTAGCAAATTTGCATTTTAATTATTTTGCTCTAGGCGTTATAAAATGGCTTTTAGTAAAGTGTACTCAACAACGATATCTGATAAGTAAGATGAAATTCCGGTAACTTTTGATTGATAAATCCCGTGAAATTTGGTATGTTTAAACTCTAAATTAAATGGATTATTTGACTGGATTAGTTTGAGCTCAATTTAACAACATTATGAGCAGTGAAAATTGTTTGAGAAGCAATAATGTTATAATTTGCAATGTGTTATGATGGTCGTACTATTAGTATTACGCTATGGCAATCATACATTTTCTCATTTCATCATTCATCTATGATAGCGATTGTTTAAAATGACAAATTAATTAAATTTTCAAAGTTAAGGAAAATTTGAAAAGTAAATTCGTTAAAATAAAAGTGTGATAAATATGTCATGATGGAATTGCATTATTACATTGTCCTTTATCATTATCAGTTTCTATCAACAATTAATTCATTAATTTAGGAAAAAATGAATCGAAATATCTATTTCTAGTTAGCTCTAGGCTTAATCAAATTTCAATTTTTCAAAATTATTTTTTTTTAAGAAAAGAAAAGAGATAGAAAGGAATAAGTAAAGGGACAAAATATATACATATATATATATATATATATATATATATATATATATATATATATATATATATATATATATATATATATATATAT